TGAATAATATAAGGAGGAGTGATTTAACTAATATTTCTTTTCTTTTTATTTTTTCATTTTTTTCTGAAGAGTGATATCCTTTCTGTCTTATATAAACCCAGAATATAAATCTTTGCAGAGAAACATCATTGATCTAGCAGGAAAGACAGTTCTTAATGGGAATTTCATTTTCTTTACAGGAAGCATTGAGGCTGTACAGGGTAGTGGCTGCAGCTGTCTTTCTGAAGAGAGCAGAGTATTTCTATCCTGCAGTGATTTCCTGTGCACACAACTTTGACAGCTTTAAAAACCTTTACAGAGTTCCTCTCCTTGAGGATGCGGAAGTGTCTACACTGTTACAAGATTTTAGAATGAAAACATGACATTGAAATTTTAGGTTAGCATTTTAGCAGATCTGTTGCATGTGAGTGTCTTAAACTGAAAAAATAAAATCATAAAAGCAATCACATTAAGCTAAATTTAAACAAATCCCTTTTCTCTCTCCAGCTAGCAGTATGATGTCAGACAGTAGCATAATGTAAAAAAATGATGATTGGGAAAGTGTCTGGCTTCTCTAATGCAGAAAATAATTGTCTAATTTGTATTTAAATACTTTTCATCAAACCGATGTTATCAACATTTATCTGATATCTAAAAGTGGGTTATCTTTGGATACATTAGGACATCCCTTCTCAAGTAAAGAGCTTATGGATGAGTACAACAATCCAGGGAAAAAGCAATAAAATATTTCAAAATGTATTACTTTTCTGGTATTTCAACTGGTGATGAAAGATGAATCTGCTCAGGGACACTGTCCATAAAGTGCCTTCTTTGTGTTTGTAGAAGCTATGGAAAAAAGATTGCAAGAAGAAACTGAAGAGAAGATTGCTAAATTATATGAAAAGCATTCTTCTGAAAATAAATAAATAAAGAAAGAAACATAGTTCATCCACAAGTGGAACAATGCATCCCAGTTTCTTTTAGTATCTCTCCTCTGTCCAGACTTGTTTAAGTCTGTAAAGTTTTGAAATGCAACTGTAAGCACTAAGAGAGGAGAAAACTCTGCCCTAAAAGAGCAATGCTCATGCCCCTACATTTTTGAGAAAATTCTCCTTAATTCTTTGCTATTGTTCATTATTTCTAATATAATACTGCCTTGATTTTCATCTTTCATAGCAGCTTACGCAGAATGGTTTCCAAATGAAATGAAGCAGTTATAGAATTAAAGTTAGTATCTAACAATAGGTAAAATTTGAGAGAGGTTTAAAAAGCTGCAGTTTTTCATAGAGATTTAATTGAGATTGAGAACATAAGAAGTGAATAATCTTTGAAGGCCTTTGGATATCAAGAGCAGCAAATAAGAAGGAATTTATATATTATCACTACTAATTCAGTCATAGAATAAAATAAGAGAATAAGCATTTGCTAGATTGCCTTGGAAAGTAAAATGATGTAAGATTTAGGAACAGTCTGGAACAAACCCATGGTGAAAAAACAGAAAAAAACTAAAACCAAAACCAAACTCCATCAAGCCTTGTGAACAACAAAAGACAAAAGAAGCTTTCCTTTCTTTTTCACCTTACTTTCTTCCTTCCTGCCTTCCTCCCTCCCTCTCTCCCTCCCTCCCATTTTGAGTTCCTTTTTGTGAACTCTGCCAATCTCAGTGGGAACTGTGTGAGAAGGTAGGAGGCAGCAGACTTGCAGATGGCGAGTTAGTTCTCAGAGGAGAAGACAGAGAAGACATGACGCTTCATAGAGTGTTATAAGGACGAGGAAGAGGAAATAATAACAGAATTATTTCACTGTCTTTCAGGCATGGCCTCTTACAAGAGTGTCTTCTGTATATGTTTGCAACGTGGAAGAAAGTATGAAATTAAAAATCAGCAAAAAGAGTCAGGAGTGAATTGAAATAAATGAGTTTTCTAATGCAGAATCCTGCTTTCCTCCTCTGAAAGCAGCTGGAATCTGGCAATTGCAGATTCCTTCTCCAACTTAGTGAAGATCCAGCAGTCTTGAGAGAGGCTGGTCCAAGACAGCCCTGTAGCAAATGAACCTGGGTGACATATGACAGCAGCCTCTGCTGAAACTGGTTTCTGAGCCTGTAAACCATCCCTGTTCACCATCTTCTCTCCCCTGCAAGTGGATGTTGTCCTTCACTGCAACTAGGGCACAGTTGTCTGTGGTGGCAAAACGGATGCATTATTTAGAACTCTCAATTTCAGCTGTAGCTATATGCTGACAAAAGTGCTGAAATCCACTCCTTGCACAGGAAACTTCACTTTTTTGTGTGCTTTCTCAGAGCGTGTCTGTTTGCATCTCATCAGTTCTGCCCATATCATACTGAGATAAATTAATTATGAGAACTATTTGTGTGATTTATACATTATGCAAACATTCTTACTGCACTTACCAATGAAAATGTTGTACTGTGGCAGCATTGTTTTACTTTGCATTGTTTTTAAGTAAGTTTAAAATTGATATTAGTACCAGAATCCCTGGTTTGCATGTAAACAGGAAAAATTAATATTTTTTTATAAGAATATGCCATCCTACTGACTTAAAAAAAGGTTCTGAGTTATTTATATTCTTGAATTAATATCATTGCAAAGAAAGCCCTTTAGTATAGAAGTTTTTTGTGTAATTAGTTTTTGAAAAGTAAAAATACGACCTTTGGTGTGGGGAGGGAGGTAGAAAACCAGAATAATTCAGCCAGGAAGAGACCTTTGGAAGACTAGTCAAATATCCTGCTCCAAGTAGGGTCAGCAATGGGATCAGACAAGGATCTATTCTCTTTTATGCAGTGAAAAAGAGGTTTGCCTGATCTGATGTGACCAGGGAGGCCATTGGCAGCTTTTGTAAATCATTTAAATTGGGAAGCAATAAAAAATGAAAACAATAGGCCCTTACAGGGGAATACATCCATGGACAACTAACTCCATGCAGAAAGCTGAGCTTATGGTAGAACCACGATGTGCAAATGCCAGGCTGACAGACAGAACTGGACACCTTGCCCAGCACAAGGGAGTGTCCTGTTCCCCTCCATCAATGGGATGTGGGAGCTTTCAGGGAGGGAGGGAAGTGATGATGGGGCACAGAATAGGAATTGTGAACTCCCTGCTATACCCATCTCATTTAGAAAATCAAATCTAAAAATTATATTTCCGAGGTGTGAGGTTCTGTCTTATGTGTTATGATCTGATTATTAAGAGATGCCTCTGCCTGAATTATGGTGCAAATGAGACCATGTGCCAAAGTCAATAGTACAGACGTTATTTAACAGTAAAATGTGAGGCAGAGAGATAGAAAGACATAGAAAAGAGAGGCGAGGGGAAGAGAAAGAGAGTGAGAGGAGACAGATTAAGCAGAAGACAGTCACCACCTGTGGATCCAGCGGCGTCCCACTGGTCCTTCTCCACCCTAGTCTTCTCCGTGGTGGTGGTCCCTGAGTTGTTCTTCTGGGGTATCACCTTAATATAGTCCACTTCCCAGGTATCCACAAGGGATAGATGCTATTCCCATAACTTGGGATGGTATGTATATAAGCAGTTGATTCCTTTCACATAGTCTGCCGCAATGGGAATTTTTGTCCGAATGCAGCAAACAGGATGTGCTAACCAGCCTTACCTCCATCAGGCTTGGAATTAGTGCCTTCCTATTGCAAACTCCTCTCTTCTGTTCTTATCTCAAGTTCCTGCTGTGGTGGCTTATCTTATGGCAAGTTCCTTCTGTGGCTTTGACAGTATTTGAGATAGGCAACTGTGATTTTTAAGTCTCTTACATTATGGCTGTGACATACAGTGGAGAATGAGGATAAGGATGCCTGCATGTAGCAGCCCTGTGCTTTTGTCAGTGATACCAAGTACTCCTTCCATGTGCCAGGTGTCATTGCTTGGACAGAATCACCTTTTTGGTGTACTGAGGATGTGAGTTTTGTCTCTCTGTGTACTGGATTCACTGGTCCAAACTAGACCACAGACTTTAGCTCACTACATTCCTTGGTCTGAGAGGGTCCTTGCCCCTTAAAGTTAAGGATGTGTCAGTCCAGATGGCACTGTGCCCGTGGCATGTTTGTGTGATACCTGTCCCAGAGGTGTGCTGAGTGGCTGGTTGGCACAGAATTTTGTTTCCTCTTTATTTGGGGAGGGGATGTATTAAGAACAAGTATTTCTGCTTCCATGTGTACTAGATGCAGTTGTTTGTCTTCTGGGGCCCCAATATGTGTGTGGTGTCCGTGTAAAAGATGCCAGTGTTTGCCGTGGAGATGGGATGTCACCATGACATCTCACTGAGCCTGATTAGCCTGTGAGGAAGAACAGGATCAGGCCATTTGTATTGTTCCTGTTTACTCAAGTGCTGTTTGTGTGTGTGCAGTTCCTGTAAAAGCACAGTTCTCCTACCTCTGTACATCTGTGAGTGCCTGGTAGTGTCTGTGCCTGCCTTTCAGAAATGAAAACTCAGCCCTAGCAGGTTGTGAGAGGAGAAGTATCATCCACTCCTGGAGTGCTCCAGCTTCATTAACTCCTTAAAGTGTTGGAAGCATTCCTGAAGTGGCAGGTGTGGGAGCCCAGTGTGTGGAGGGAACAGGTCCTTTTGCAAATATGCCCCAAGTGCAAGAATATTCTAATATTCACTTAAAGGAATAGAGTTAGCATCTCTAGAAAACAGAATACCTCATGAAAACATCAAGTTGTGTTGGCTATAGAGAAAGCAGAGACACAGGGGAAATAACCTAGAGATGGCCTGTCTACAATCTCTTCCTTGGACATGTCTCAAAATGTCAAGAAAAAACAAATCCAAATATTTTAAAAAAAAAATCACATAAGTAGTTCAGGCAGACTGTGGTAACAGATTACTGTAATTTTATATAAATGTAGGCATAGTTTCATCAATGACAGTTAAATCTTTGGAAAAAATACCCCAAAAATGTACTAATTCAATGGTCTTAGTAGGTCTCTTTTGGTTTGTTTTTCAGAATAATTCTCTGAAGAACAACAATTTGAAGAGGTTGAACCAACAGATGACAATACAGACTGATGACTACTTAAAAGTTCCTTAGGAATAGTGGCTGACAAATTGGAAAAAAAAACAGAGGAAAGGAATAGCTTAACACCTAAATACCAGCAGAAACTCCTGCTGAGACAAGTGTTCCAGGTTGGATAACTAAGATAATTACTGCTAATTACAATCCGTTTGTTTTTTTTTGTCTTCAATAGATAGCATAAAAAAACAAGTCCTTCAAATTCCATGGGTTTTGTTAAATTTCTTACCTTTTGTTTTTGCTACTTTTATTTATTTCACTTTATTGTTGTATCTGGGTGGGTACAGTTTTATCTCTGTCAAATTTGTGGGTGTCAAATTATCTCTGTCAAAATGGGTGTTTTTCAGGACTTTTCAGGACTCAGAATCAGATATTTTACATCCTGAATATACACTTACAAGTAAAATGCTTTGAGTTAACAGTCTTAGTGTCTTTATATTCTCCTGAATCATCTTCTGACTTTTAATGAAATATTAAAATTTTTTAATTAAATTATTGTAGGCAAAAAACTGTCTGCAGAATGTAAGCAGTGACTCTATTACACTGAGCCCCAAGTCTATAGGAAGATTGAAGAGTGGTGCTCTGAAGAGTAAACAGTCTCATTTGTCTCTGTGAGATTCCAGCTCTTACATGGTAGTCACTGGGAACTTGAGTAAACAATCCAAACTTCATCATGGAATAAAGAGGTAGAAAACTAAAAACCTGCACTAATTATCCTGAAGTGACTGCTTCATACCCACTCCCAAAACACAATTAAATAGGACAGCGGACAATTAAAAAAAAAGTTTCAAAGTGATTAGTGGAAATGAAATAATTCTCATTATGTGCAGAGTCTATTCAAGGCATAATGTTTTCGTCAGATTGTAGGGTGGTATCTTCTATGTGTGGTTTAGAGAAACAGCAGCCTCTGCTCTGCCACACTGATTGTTCTGTCTCTAAACTTGACTCCCACAACCTTGACAGCCTCTCTACTTGCCATCACTCTCATTTTTTTTAAAATAAATCTCACTTAGATTATGTCTGTAGGGCAGGGACAAAGGCAGCTGCCTATAGGTGCCAAACCTGTTCTGTAATATCTAGCTCACATGCTAGTGGGATTTTGGCCTTGAGAGCACAGATTCATGTAACCTGCAGCTTGGCTGGGTTTTGCAGCCTGTGCTGCACTTCTTGCTGCCACAGCCACATTGGATCTGATATTTCAAATATATATTTGCAGCATATCTAAGTCAGTTTTACTGCAGTGACTGCTATGACCTCAGAATTGGGGTATGCTCGTTTACAACCCACATGTTCACGCAACACTGCATTTACTTTGTCTGCTAAGACAGACATGTTTTTCTTTCCCATACCAAATAAATGATACGTTTTCTCTTATACTTGAAACTAGTTTTTCCTATTTGTCATCCCAGTTTCTATATCATCTACTCCCTGCCGCAAAACATTGACAGACCCTTGTTACGACCTGCCCCAGGAAAAGGGGAAGGGGGGTAACTCAAGTTTTATCAATAATTCCTTTGGGGTGGATTAAAGCGAAACGACACTAAATAATCGGTGTTTGAAAACATATATTGACAAGATTTATTTTAACAGTTTGGTATCAATAGGTATGTTAACATTTTGGGTGCTGTCATAACCTTTCTGGGGAGGAGAAAAATGCATAGGGGAGAGGAAGACAGGGTAAGAGTAAGGGAGAGCAAGAAAAGAAAAGAAGATGAGATAATCACCGCCCACTGGATCCAGCGATGTCTTGATCCGCAGGTGGTGGGGGGAGAAGGAAAAGCAAAAACCCCCGCCAAACCCCCAAAGTCACCAGTCAAAATCCATATCCTTAGCCTCTCCCCCAGGGCGGGGAGTTGTTTTCATAGGTTGGTGTCCCCCTTTTTGGCGCGGAGTTCATGTGGAGGGCGTGGTAAACTCGGCTCTTCCCGCCTTTTCGTAGCTTGACATCTTCTGCACTGGAGGAGGGGGGGGATGGGCCCAGTTGCCCATCAGAAAGTCAAAAGCTTGCAGAAGTCTCTTAGAATGCATAAATCATTAACTGTTCAGTCTCTGACAACCCTTACTCTGAAGGGTCATTGTTTCTATTATCACTTCCCACTACTTAAAATGATAGAGATTATATTTAGAATCCTAACTAGAATATCTTCATCCCTACAAAAATTTGGTGTCTTTCAATCTCCTTTTTTCCCATCTTACTCCTGGGCCAATACTACTGAAATGAATGAAAATCAGAGGCCTGGGGAAATGAGTTGAAAAGTGTTATTTGCAAATAACTCAGCAAGAAGGAAGAAAACAGGATCACTAAGAGAGTAGAAGCACAGAAAGGTTTCCTTGACCTCCCTAAACACCTAAGAGAACTGTTACTTAAGAAAATGGAGAAGTTAGTGTATTTAATTAGATTTGTTGTATTCAAGTGCTCCTGTACTAGCTGTTGTATGAACCCTCAGAATGGGGTGAGGTTGAAAAGCAGAGAAGCATAATCTTTCCTGACAAGTCTGTAATATTACAGAAACTATAATTTCTTGAGTGCTGCTGAAAATTTTTGCTTCTAAAATTAATGCTTGTCTTTTTTTTTCCAGGGTGTGTTCACTGTGACATTCAAAGGGAAGCAAAGTGCAAAGGGGCAAGAAAGCAGGTGTATTATAACACTATGATTCATTTTCTTAGAGGATTAAAATTCATGCAAGAGAAAATCAGTGGTGAAGTTATAGTACAGAATCATCATTTGCATCATGACAAGAATATGGAAAGGTTTGTAGAGTACTCAAAGTAAATCTAAATAGGTATATAAAGAAGGTACTCGATGGAGTAAAGTTGGGTAAATATTATTCTTCTAAATGTCTCTCAGGTATCAAAATTTCTCCAAATACCTTCAAGGGAACAAGCAGTCTCTATGAAGCTTATTTAGGAGATGTTTTTCTCAAAAATTTTTTTCCCCAAGAAGTTGAGTATATCTCACAAATACTGCTGATTTCTCAAGCTTAATATAGAACACAAGGATGATAAGTCCAAGGATAAATGCAAACAATTAGATTTTAAAACATAACCACTTCTTTAGCTGTATGTCCTTTAGCAGACTGGATTTGTTGAATTTATCCTTTAGGAAATACAATAATTCATTCACAGAATCTCAGAATTGTTGGAGTTGGAAGGAATCTCTGGAGACCATCTCATCCAGTCCTCCTGCTAAAGCAGGCTCGCCTATGGCAGATTGCACAGAATCACATCCAGACAAGTTTAGAATATCTCCAGAGAATGAGACTCCACAGCCTCTCTGGGTGATCTGTTCCAGTGCTGTCACCCTCATTGTAAACAGGTTCTTTCTCAGGTTCAGGTAGAACTTCCTGTGCATCAGTTTGTGCCTCTTGACCTATTGCTGGGCACCACTAATGAGTGGTGCTCATCCTCTTGACACCCACCTTGAGATATTTGTGGGCATTGATGAGGTCCTGTCTGAGTTGTCTCATCTTGACACTGAACAGGCCCAGCTCCCTCACCCTTTCCTCGTAAGAGAGATGCTCCAGTCCCATTAATCATTTCTGTGGTCCTCAACTGGACCTTCTGCAGTAGTACCTTGTCTTTACTGTACTAAGGAGCTCAGCTGGACATAGCACTCCAGATGTGGCCTCACAAGGACTGAGTAGAGGTGCAGGATCACCTCTCTTGACCTGTTCAGAGCTTATGTTAAGCTTTAATATTGTGTGTGTTCAGTGAGTCCAAGTTGTTGCATCTGTGCTGTCCTCTTTCTCCCAAGTCACTTATTCATGATTGTGACCAGAGAAACACATTTTATGGGGAAATGGGAGAGAGTAGAGGTGGTGTTAAAGTCAATTCCCTATTAGGTAGTGATAGTTTAAAAGTAAAATGTAGGCATAAAATTAACTATTTAAAGATCCAGTGAAACCATTATAAATAAATAAATAAATAAATAAATAAATAAATAGCTTCCGAAATAAAACAGAATCATTTGTGTTAACATATAATAATAAAGAAGACCGAAGACCATAATAAAGAAGACCGAAACCCACTTAAAAACCCCTGTAGTATTTAAGCTGCAAAGGCCCAGGACATCAGCAGTGGATGGGTGCTCTGCAGGTGTAAGAAATGGAGTAAATGACCAAATTATCCAAAGCAGGGGGCAATACACCATAGGAGATAAAAGCAGCCAAATCACCATAATAGCTCCTGCCTATATTTGCTAAACCAACAGCACATTTATCTTGGAAAACATGAAAAAAGCACTGGGTAAGAGATGTTTTACTGTATCTGTAGGAGCTACTGTATGTCCTACCTGTACCTGTCTTTCACTTGTATGAGTTACAGGTTTAATATTTTACATTGTATAAGTATCATGTCTTGGACTTAAGAGTTCAGCAGCTAAACACTGTAAATCAAATGGGGAGAAAATGGATAAAACAAATGTAGGAGACCTCTCAAACTTCATTTTCACGTCTGTGGTTTTCTCACTTCTGCTTCTAGGATGTGTTGTATTTGTATGTGTTGTATTTGATCTTCGAAATGTTGTCTTGTACAATTGGTATAATATGAGAAGTGTACTTGTACCAACTCTTTTTTTTCTGAAATAATGGAAATGTAAACAAAGGTAGAACAGAGATATCCAGGAAAAATAAATAGTTAATTAAAGGCTCCAGGGTTTTAAAATATAACGTGTTTGAATTACAGTGTAGATTTTGACTTTTAGCTAGGATCTGACTTGGAAATCTATCTATTAAAATACTATCAGGAGATTAGTCTGTCAGAGTCAGAGAAGAATAAAAGTTATGAGCACACAAAATTACAGCCTTGCAATTTATAAGTAATTTAGCACTGTTATATCTCAGTTTTTCAGAAAAGTTTAAAAAATGTTTCATTGCACCAAATATGATTATACAGATATGGTTTTCTTTAATGGAGACCTTGGGGTTTTGAAAATGTGTTCTCTTCTTCTCAGCATGAGCAATATAATTTCTTTTTTAAAAATATGAGATCATAAAAGTGTTCTGTCTAATATTCACAGAATACTCCATTTACGCACACATGTCTATATATCTATGCACAGGTGCTGACCTTTCATTTCTATATATTGTGTTCATCACAGGTGATTTCCAATACATGGAATTATCTGTAAAATTATGAATAGCCTGACATTTATGGATGAGTAAATCTGAAAATCCTTTTTGATACATACCCTGTGGCTAACACCAATTATGCAGGTAAGTAATCCAACTAAGGTTTTACTAAGCCATAGAAAGGAAACATGAAAAAGCACAGTTCTGTTGTGCATTACTCACTTTTTGTTGACCAATCCCATGACTAACTAGAGCCAACATAACTACTGAATTGCTAACAGTAAAACCTGACTTTTCTCACTTCATATAAACATACTGCAAGTTCTTTTAATGTTAGATCAGGATCCTTGGAAAATCCCACACTTGGTTTTGGGGAAATAGGATTTCTCTTCTGACCAAGATAATGAGACTTGATACTGCAACCAAGTGAAAATTAAGGAAAGCAAATACTAAGCAAATACCTAAGCAGGTTAATTAGTTAATTAGTTTAGCATTTATATTGGAGTTCTGTATGTTGCAACCTGTTTCTATTGTCATAGGTCTTTGCGCTTAGTAATTTGGAAATAGCCTGAATATACGAGCAGTAATCTGCTTACTAACTGTGCTATTTTTGAGCAATATAAAGTAACCTGTGCAGTATTTTATACTTGTTTTAAATTTTTAAATTTATTTATTTACTTGTTTGTTTTGCACATTTTCTCAGTCAATAAGTCTCTAGGTAGTGCTAACTAAAGATTATAAAACATCAGTGAAAGGCTTTTGGAAAAAGTTTTATTGAATTGAAAGAAATCAAGCATACTTTAATTTTTGCTTCAAAATTTCCTTAAAATGCTTCAGCTGCTGAAAGCTTCCAATTTCCATTTTGTCATTGTTGTTAAAACTTATTATTTCAGGTATTGCTAGTGATTACTTTGTAGAATTTCAGTAGAACAAGTGTGAAATTTCCAAATTCTATTTTATTTGCAGGCTGGCTACACATATGTCAATCTGTACAGGTTCTATTATACACCCACCTCTGCCTCTTAATCCAAACAAATATTTTCTTCTGTGATGAACAAAAGCACCACTAGGAAATGTAACATCTTGATAAAAAGCGAATTTGATATCCAGGGAGAGGCAAGGAGTGGGAACACAGAGTGTAGTATATAAGGAGTGAGTACATACACGTTTCTTAGAACAGCTTTCTCTTTAGGAATAAAAGTTCTAAGGAAATTTTTGTTGGAATTTTCAGTTACTTCATTCAGTTGAAATTACCACGTGCATTACGTGGAAAGGCTGTGGAGTCTCCCTCACTGGAGATATTCCAGAACCATCTGGGCACAGTCCTGTGCCATGTACTCTGGCTTCAGCAGGGAGGTTGGACCAGATGACCCACTCTGGTGCCTTCCAACATCACCCATTCTGGGATTCTGCATGAAATGAGCATTTTGCCTGAAGCTCCCCAGGATGTTACTAACCAGGCTACCTTTTTCCAACTATTGGGCTGTTGCAAAAGAAGCATCCATTGATACATTATGTCATGCACTATGGAATTTGTTGGTTTATTATATTCCTCTTAAAAAATAATGCTAATTCGATCAAGAAGAATCCTATGTATGGAAGAGTTGTTGTTCTCACCTAGGTGGAACTGAACTCATCAGGGGAAAAATAACTTCCAGATTGCACAGCAGGAAGGCAGATGACAAAAAGAAGGGATGGGATAGTACAGAGAGGAATGAGAGTTTTGATAGGCACAGCAGGCAAGCAACCACTAAAACAACCTAGGGATGAGAAGGGCTGTTTAGAGTCTGCTGAAACTCCTAAAACCACTGAGCTAACAGAAAACAAGCCTGAAAGGAAGTAACTGTCTTGCAGGCAAATAGCTTCTATTAATATTTATGCACATTTTGGCAGTTTCTTATTGCCAGTAACAACACATCTGTGATCTTTATTGGCATTACTGGTCAGAAAATCAGGAATCAGATCAGCAAACAAAGCATCACATTTAGAGTCAGAGCTTTTTTTTTTTTTGTGTGTGTGGCCTTGGGAATTTCTGAGGAATCCCTGTCAGACTTTGGAGATGGGACAAAGACTATTGTCATGTCTTGCTAAAGACCTCAGTTTTGGTGATGATGTGTTCTGCAGTCCTTCCTGCTGTTCTCTCTAAAGATGTCTTTAGATTGTTAATATATTATATGTGTGAAGACTAATAAGACGATTCATAACAGAGGAGCTTCTTACAGTGAGAGAAAAGGTCTATGTTTCTCAGAAATATGAGCTTTCACTGGGGCATTATCTTAGCTGATAACATTCTAGTACAGTTTATATTGAGTGAAAAACATGAGGGGAAAAACAGTAAAGTAACTGTTCCTCTGTCTCTATCTGCAGCTAGAAAAGAGAGAATAAGGGAAAGAGACAATAGGAAGTTAAGAGGCTATTTTTGTATAATCTGTTGGTTTACATAAAATATTTCATTACCAGTGGGAAAAAAAACCCCAAAACGCAAGAGTTCTGGGCCATGGGCTTAGATAGCTGGCCTAGTGGAAAGGCTTTATTATTCTAAATTTAGGAAGTTTTCATTATTTATTCATACAGAAGTAAACTGTGGAGATTATGCCTACTGGGTACAGGCAAACCCTTTTGTACAGTTCTGTCATTCATTATGTATAGTCCACATTTTTAGATATTAACAAGTTTAGAGAACTTTAAACTTTTGGAGTTTTAGATGTTTTTAAACATGATCTCAAGATATTTTCTTCTCTCACATCATATGTACAATAACCTCATATGCTTCAATGGTGTTAAATGTTGGCCCTTTTCCCCATCCTGACTTTTGCTATATTGAACTCAATTGGGTGCCACTGGGTTTTTTTTCCTTCTTCACTAGAGGGGATGTCCATTAGTTTTCAACTGTTTTCACTTGAAGTAATACTTGAACCTACTTAAACTACCTATTGATAATCTAAATAGCTGGGGTTTTTTAAGGTCCTTACTGGAAAGTATTATCTACAGTCTATTAAAAAAAGTAGATGTCTCTTTCCAACACCATCTTATTTCATACCCAAAGGATTTTCTGAAAATGTTATATTCTCAGAACAACTTTTATTTTGGTGTAAATCCTTGCATACTCATCTTTCTTCTGGCTTTATATGAACAAAAGTAGTGAATGTGTTCACAGGCCTGTGTTCTGCTGTCCCTTGCTCTGGGCCTTCCACCCAGGTGTGTCTTTTATTTGTTAGACCCTGAAAGTGCTGTGTCCAGTCCTGGCCCCTGACTTTAGGAAAGATATTGAGGTGCTGGAACAAGTTCAGAGAAGGGCAATGGAGCTGGGGAAGGGTCTAGAGAGAAAGTCCTATGAGAAGGGGCTGAGGGAGCTAAGAGGTGTTTAGCCTGGAGAAAAGGAGGCATAGGGAACCTTATCACCTTCTAGAAACCCCTGGAAGACGGTTGTAGCCAGGTGGGGTTTCAACCTGTTTTCCCAGGCAGCGAGTGACAGGACAAGAGGACACAGCCTCAAGCTGTGCCAGGGGACATCAGGTTTGGTTGGACGTCAGGAAAAATTTCTTCACAGAAAGGTTTGTCAGGCATTGGAATGTCATTGCCCAGGGAAGTGGTCAAGTCACCGTTCTTGGAAGTGCTCAAGAAATGACTGGCTGTGGCACTCAGTGCTCTGGTCTAGTTGCCCAGGTTTGGTCAGTGATTAAACTCAGTGATCTCAGAGGTCTTTTCCAACCTAAATGATTCTGTGATTCTGTTACTCCCCACCTGGGCTGAGCCCCATCCTGCCATGCTCCCTGGCAAGATGACACTTCTGTCCTGTGTTCCCGAATATAAATTCTCTTCTCTAGATCAAAAACTGAGGAAGTTTATTTTGAATATTCAAAAGCAGAACACACAGATTCTGGTGCTTTGAAAGGTGAACCATGCAGGGCAGCAACCAATATGGATTTGTTTGAGTTATCATCTGCCTGAGGCTTTAATGATGTTTTTCATCTTCTGCTTGATTGCTTTCGTTTGTAAATCATTCATCAAAACTTTTATTTTTGTAAAGGAAAGCAAAAAACTATGTACTCTAGTTACATGATGGATATTATAACTTTAAAAAATGGTAGATCAACACTACAATTTAACCAACATTTAGCTGGCATTTATACTTTGCTATTTTAGAGCTTTGTGTTGGGGTTACACCCTATATATGTTAGATATATTAGATATATATGATATGTAGTGTAGTATTGAGAGAAATGAGAAGTATTCTTACTTCCTGTATCTCATTGAATAACAAAGGGGGCAGAAAGTTACAAAACATATACCCATATGTAGCTAAATTTGGTAACTAAACACAAAGTAGAGAACTCTGTCACAAGTTTTTGGCTGCTTGTATGCAGAGTGGCATGTCCCCAGGCTAATGAAGCAAAAACCATGTGTGGAAAAAAATAAACTTTGATTTTATTCTCAGTACCTTTGCTTTGTTAGTATTTTATTCTTTTGTATTTTTTCTCCCTTTTTATACATTATAGCACTAGGAAAAAAAAAAAAGTAGAGAAGGAGGAGGAAAAAAAACTAAGCAAAAAAACCCCATATGGTTTATAGCTGTCACTGATATTAATGTCTTTCTGTAAGAAAGGCATATTTGAGCTACAGTTAACATAAGTGGTTCACTGCCTTTGTAATAGATATTGTTTATTAAATTGTTCTCTAAGAGAAGATATGAGCAAAGACTATTACAAAAGAAGTGCTGAGTTATCAAGCCTTGTCCAGATTATAGAGTGGCAGTACTGGAATTACAGAAGTGTCTCAAATTCAAACAATATCTCTTGCTCTGGCTTTTTTCTCCCCATTACATTAAAAGTTAAAGGTGAGGAGGGAGTTCTTGTGACACTTCTTGCATCTTTGAGTTAAGAATAGCAGTTCTGTCCCTGTAGTTCCCTGTGCCCATTGCCTGCAGTAGGAGCAAGTAATTTGTGTCTTCAAGGAAGTCAAAGGGCAAGTGGTGATGATCTGTCTTAACTCCCACTAAGTTCAGCACACATCATATCACCTCTCAACTGAGAATTAGTGACAATGAATTGCTTTTTACCCCCCATCCTTTCACTCTTTTCTTCATACTTTGTGCAATCAATAAATGCATTCAACAACTGTAGTGGCCAGGTTTATGGCTTGTAGGAACTGTATATTTCTTTTACTTGGACTGCAGACACAGAGCTCACTTAAATGTGTAGCACAGATCCTGCTTCATATGGAGAAGAGGTAATGAATTATAGTTGCTAGAGAAAATATAACATTTGTGTCCTGTCCATAGATACAGAGCTTGCTTATGGTAGGATAATACCTATCTCTTTAGAGAAAGCATGAGAATACTTGGATTTGTTTATAAATTCCTCAAGCAGACACTATTTTAACATTCTTCTCCAGGAAAAAAGTATTTTTTGGGAGCAGATCCTTGATTGATGAGAATCTTTGTGGTACTCTGATTTTTGATGATGGCAGTTCATGCCTGCTCTTCAGCCTATGCCTATTTTCTTTTTACTTGCTCTCTGGTTTTCATACATTTTTCTAAACTTAAGTCACATTCTGTATTATTTTCATTTGAGGAAACAATTGCCAGTCTTGAATCCAAAAACAACACAGACAACCATTCTTAAAAGAGATAAGAAGAATGTTAAATAATTATATTAAAAAAAAAAAATCAAAACCCCAAACCAAAACAAGCAAAAGCCCCAAAGCAATAGAAGATTATTTTACACACATTTCAGGTTTTTTTTTCTGTCACAGAAGCTGATGAAGACTGTTGAAAAGGAAAATTACATGGAAAAGCATACTTAGAAATTTCTATTCTCAGCAGTGATAGCGTAAGTTTTCCTATAGTTTTGCATTTCAGAGGTTGCTATAGTAATGAACTGCTATAGTAAAAAACTGGGGTTTCATTTAACTTGGACTGATATAGAGCTATGATCGGCCTTGATAGTTAGAATTCACATAACCACGGGCTTGTGGCTGTGGTAATTAATGTGTTATTGTTGGTGAATATTATAGCACGGCATTAGTTTATGGCTAAAAATGTTTTTACATTTAATTGGAGTAATGCTTTATGTTTCGAATCATATTGTAAGTGATGTCTTGGTTGTATATTTAGAAAGGAGGAAGTGATGTTTTCAGCCTTTCGATATATTTCACACATTTCTGGATTGCAGCTTGGTGTTAATAAGAAACGTGTATTTGAAGATGATGCAGCACTATAGATATGGAAGAAAACAAGATTTATGTGAATGGAGCCCATTAAAATGTCACTTGAAAGACACTTCAGTGGGACAAGGTAGAAGATACTTTATGTTTTGCACTTTATTATACATATATTTTTAAATACGCTACTGAGTTTTTCTGTTTCAGTGGCAGACAGTATAAATCACTGAATAATCCCAAAGCATCTTTATCCTCTCCTATCACACCAAAACAGATCCTGTAGATGCTTTCTTGTTATAGGGAATCTTTTCTAATTTTTTCCCACAGAGTATCATAAATACTGTATATATAACAGTTTTATACTTAATTACAAATCAGCCTGATTGTGGAAACATGCTCTAATCTCTTCCTTTAATTTAAATTAAATGAAACTGTACACAGCAGCAGCCAGACAGCTTCATTTGCCTAATGCACAGAGTAAACAACCACAGAATTACATCAGAATTCAGGTCTTGTGGCCTCACTCTTCAGAAGCTGTTTTACTAAGAAGAAATAATAAAAATAATATTAATATTAATAATAATAATAATAATAGTAATAATAACAATAATTTGCCTTTTGTGGTAAAAATCATACAGAAGTATTATTAAATACAATTTTCACTTTGGGAGGAAATTCTGTTGATAGACTGATGTGTTAAACATGATGTCAGTTGTGAAAAAAATCAGGAACTCTGAGCTGAAGAATCATCATCATCATCATCATTATCATCATCATCATCATGTTTTGATATACCACTGTGTTTTTTAGAGTGCACATATCTTTAATCTCTCAGAAAGAGAAAATGTCATACTTTTTCTTATCTGTCAATATAATTAGGCATCTTCATTAATGCTACATCTAAGGGCAGATTGCTGAAGAGGAGAGAGGTAAATTTGGTTTTTCTACATGTAACTCAAATATCAGAATGTTTTACTTGGGGTACTCAATTATCCTTTAATCAGAATTCATGTCAAAACTGTAGCATCAGTATTCTAAATCTGGATCTTGTGTTTGATCACTGCAATTGTTTTCTCAACTTGACTAGTTCTAAAGATTTGAGATTAGTGATTAAAAAAATCAGCCAAATAATTAAAAGTATTTTGCAAAAATTGTGTAATGAAATACTGCAGCTAAAATTATATGTGCTGTAATTGTGTATTATGTTTTAATTGGCATATTTTACAGTAAGGTATAATTCTTGCACAGTGTTTGATCTGAAGAATGGATGTTCCCAGGCCACTTGTTTGCAAGTCAATAACATTCGTTTCCATTCAAACATAGATAATAGCTGAGCTCTTGATAAATGTCCTGAGCATTCTAGCATGCTTTAAACAAACATACTGTGGTGGTACAATCCCCCCCCCCCCTTGGGCCATACCATGATCTTAGAAATGCTCATTAGGCCTCAGCCTTGATGAACAGCACGTGGGCTCAGCTCCTCCTGAGCTTATCAGAAGCACTGTCTGCTCCCAGGAACTAGTGCTGTATAATGAGCTCCTGAGTTTTTTTTATTAAACAGCCTTGGAAACTTATTTTTTGAATAACAGCCCAAGTGGAACAACACTTTTGTTATTGAATTTTCAAAGAAAGTTACTGACCTAAATTGCAGCCAGGATGGAAAATTACTATGACTAAATCCAACTCTATTGTGACCCTATAAGCTGTGGTCCTAAATGAGACCCTTTGAGCTATCCTGGACTGCAGAGGGCTGTGACCAGCAACCTCCCTCTGACTGGGACACCTCTCAGGGTTGGAGAACTCTCAAGGTTGTTGTACTTGGAGAACTCCGATGATGGAGCCCCGGCTGATACCCCCACTCCTCAAGTCTTAACTCTTTGCCTGTTGAGAAGATGCAAAGGCATCCAGTGTGAGTACTTCACTGAACTGGAGGGGAATTTTTCACAGGAATCAGCCTTGTACAGACTCTTTGGGTCTGTGTGTGTGTGAGTGTGAATATGCCACAGCAGAGATACTGTGAACGTTGCTCTCTGTGATTCTTGAGTATATTAGATTCATATGTGATTTAGGCCTATAAGTGAGTTACTGTTGTGCTTATAGTAAATTCTATAGAATCTGTTGTTAAATTTCTTATCTTCAGTTATCAATTCAGTGCTGTTAAACTTAAGTGCTGTTTAAACCTTTAGGCCTAAGCCATTGGTCAAGTACCAGGCTAAGTTTGGCAAGGGGGTCCACCCTGAGCCTTGTGACTCAGTGGGATGGTCTCCCTTGATCCTTTTCTTCCTATACCCTTTCCCATCCTTACACTTCTTCTATCCACAGCCTCCACTTATATCATTTTAGATAAATTTTAGTTTTTGGTTTCTTGATTTTAGAATTTAGTCCTATTTTTTTTCTATGTGCTTTAACCATCTAGTAAGTAGAAGAGTAGAAGGATCTTTGCTCTACTTTCACTTTTATATTAAACCTGCTTTTGATAGGCAACACAATTTTTTGGATACCCAAACCCAGTGAACTTCACTGCTTATAAGTATTTAATCTAAACATAAAATTTTAACCATATTTCCTGAAACATGTCTCAGCTTTTAGTCCCTTCAGTTTTTTGGCATTCTGGATGTAAAGACAGTGTGTTCTCGCCTATTATTTGGAATTTTGTAGCAATCAGAGACCTGTCTGGTTTAATTAGAAACCAAGAAGTAACTTGAGATTTCTAGTGACTTTCATAAAATCACAGAATCATAGAATGCACTGGGTTGAAAGCGACCTTAAAGATCATCCAGTTCTAATCCCTCTGCCATGGGCAGGGACACTTTCCACTAGACCAGGTTACTCAGAGCTCCATGCAACCTGGCCTTGAACACTTCCAAGGGTGGGTCACCCAGAACTTTCCTGGAAAACCTGCTCCAGTGTCTGACCCACTCTCACGGTAAAGAACTTCTTCCTAATATCAGATTCAAACCTACTCTCTTTCAGTTTAAAGCCATTCCACCTTGTCCTGTCCTTGTAAAAAGTACCTCTCAGCTCTCTTGTAGATCCTGTGGGTACTGGAAGGCTGCTAGAAAGTCTCCCTGGAACCTTCTCTTGTCCAGGCTGAACGCCTCCAACTGTCTCAGCCTTTCCTCATACGAGGGTTGCTCTAGCCCTCTGATAATTCTTCTATTCCATCTCTGGACTTGCTCCAACAGCTCCACATCCTTCTTATATGGGGGGTCCCAGAGCTGGATGAGGCATTGAAGGTGGAGTTTCATCAGAGCGGAGTAGAATCCCCTCCCTGGACCTGCTAACTACTCTTCTTTTCATGCAGCCCAGGATATGATTCTCCACCTCTACTCCAATAGTTTACTTTGTGTCAAAGATTGATCATTTTTCTGTATAACGCAAGTGTAAACAGCTCACTAAACAGTCCATTGCATTTCTCTTTCCTGCCAAAGGATGCTGACTAAACAAAATGTACATGAACTCTAAGGTAGATTCACGTTTGTTTTTTCTCCCTGAACAGCCAGAGGTGGTAATTAATAGCTTTATTGTGAAATGTGTCATCTCGTACAAGCTCTGCCATCAATCTGAAGACTGTTATCAAATAAATTTTCCTTTAACAGACCAAAAGCAATGGAATCTGTAAGTGGAAAGTGGGGAGAGACAGAAAACTGGATGATAAAATATAACTGTAAGTAAACTGATTGCAAACATTATCTTTCACAGCCATGATGAAAAAAGTGTCCCCAAAACCATGCAGTTCACAGTGACTTACTGCATCCACTTAGTGTATTGGAAGTACATATTCAAAAGAGATTGATTCATACATGATAATCACACCTCACTTGTAAAAATGACTAGGTAAAATAAATTAATCAAACACATATTAACATGAAAATCATTCCCCAATAGTAATTTAAATATTTAGTAGAGCCTATATTAATTAGTTTCAGTGAAGGGGAAGATACAAATCCTAATAATTTTTCCAGGACCTTAAATGAACATGCCTTCCAAAAAAATGATGCAGTGAATGTGATTCGAGATTGATGAGAAACAAACCATGTTGAGCTTGTAGCTGCACAGTGTGATAATTTGTATACTTTTACATATAATAGCTATTTTTGACTCAATGAGGAGACATGAGAGAGTACTCATTTTCATACTGCAGTATTGCTAAACAAATCTTTACTAGGATTAGGATTTTCCCCCCCTCTTTTTATGTACCTTTATATACATTTATAAACCAAGTGGTCTTGATTCCCTCATCAGCCCAAGTCTATCCCCCTTTACCTACTGTACAAGAGAAATATTCTTCCATTTCTGTATTTGCTCATGTGGTATTCATGGGAGAATAAAGCTACTAGGGCTGATATTTTGTTCTTTTTCTGGAACTGGATGGGTCGCCCTAATGAAGTGCCGTTACTAACTAGCTGTGGTCCCTTTCTAAGTGTCATGTTAAAAGGGGCAGAAAAGAGGAATTTACTGTCCATCCATCAACAACCTCTATTAATTTATTTTTTGTCTATCAGTGCGCCCTCCTCCCCCCCAGGAAATCAAAGCCTTTTAACATCCAAAACAGCCTGTTAACTTCTCACCTAATGAGACCCTTGGTTTAACAGGTTCACTGAGATGGACAGGACATTTTTATATAAGGGCTGCACTTAATAGCGGTAGGAAAACCCCTCAGCAGGTTTCTCCTATGAGTTATTTTGCCGTCGATGGAACTGTCAGCACCTAAAAACAGAGTCACTCTAACAGTTCACGAAATAACATGTTTATTAATACAAATTTGTGACAATTTATGGGGTTCGTTGTGTCTGGAATAGGGTCTGACTGCAAAAACACAAACTGTGTAACAGTAATAATAAAGCCAAGCATAGGCACACGCATGCTAGAGCAAAAGCAACTTACAATGAGGTAATAAGTACAAATTTTAAAGTGCTATGGAGCAAAAGTAAAGTTAGTGTATGTGTACAGAGCGACTGCTCAGCCCAAGGCATCCCAAGGAGGTGGAAGGAGAAAAAGGCAGCCCATCGGTTACCTCCATAGAGTGGATGGAACTTCTCCCTTGTTTTTGCTCCTGTTCAATCTCTTTTTATACCTTTTTCTTAAGCAGTTCAAATGGCTATAGTCAATAAACTAATTTTGGGGTGATAGACAGATGAAATAGGCCCAAGGGTCCACTTCCAGAGTTCCTGGCAGCCAAGATGTTCGGAAAAAAGGCATGTTGTGTTGTCTCCCTATCACTCCTTTCTTTGTTTTAATCCCTCTATCAGTTTCTGGGAATGTTTCCTCAGGTGCTGGGGTTTTCCAGGAAACCATCAGGAGGTTTTTTTCTCCTTTTGTGTAGCATTTCTATCACCTTACACTAAGGAAAGTGTTGAACCACAGGAATGCTTTCAGTAGATATGAGGTTGTTCTCTTGATCTGTTTATATTCACCCACAGTTTGCATGATCAAGTGTTTTATATGTATGAAATAATTCAGTCACTCCACAGTTGTTATCACAGTTGTGGACTTTTTGATCATTATGTTTATACTACACTATTGAATTTTTAAAGGTAAATTACACTTTTTAACAAGTAAAAGGTTGTAAGCTGTGTATTTTAATGGCTGTAACTATTAAAAAGTCAGTTGCACGCCCATGTTGTCCATAAACTTTGCTGTTATAATATTTTCTTTATGTGGAAATAATATTGAGCAGTTTTTGTTCTTTTTAATTAACCTCCACTTTCCCATTAAACCAGAGTTCCAACAAAATGCAAACCGAAGAGATTTTTATAAGTATATGTGGAATTTTACTTAAAAATGTACTAACAGCAATGTCCTAAACATTTTTTTACAGTGACACAAGATTCTACAACATAAAGATTCTAATGAGGTAATTGATTAAAATTTTGAAGTCTTGTATGATACTTTTTTTTTTTCTCAGTTGCCAAATGTGAGTTTTTTACTATGTAAAACTGGAGAAATCAAGACCACTCAGCAAATTTGGTTCCAAAGTTGTGGAAGGAGACACATAATGCTCTAGCTTTCAGTTTTGCCACTGCACACAGAGGAAGTAAATCTAGTCCTATGGTGTGTTTTCTGTGCTGTGAAAAATACAAAAATTCCAAATTTAAGAGAAACATTCAAAACCGGAATAAATGGGCTTGTCTGATGCTATTGGTCCTGTTACAAAATCCATTATGAAAAACATCTTTCTGGAAAACAGAACAAATATGAACACAAATTATGTTCTTATAATACAACTTGTCTCTCCCAACTGAAAATAGAAATATCCAAATATTAAGCATTCTATATTCTCCCCTGAAAGGGAGACAAGAAAATAAAGATATGGACCACTGAACATCTCCCTCTTTTCTCCATAAAGATTTCCTGAAAGGCTCCTCTCTATTCTGCTTAGCAGGAAACCAATGTCAGAATTTCCCTTTGACTACCCAAATGTGACCAGAATTATTCATTTCTGTAATATTTTGGACATAGTATGATTTTTTTTCATTTTATTATAATATAATCTCTCACCCTGTAGCCTGTGTGATTATGTGCCATTACTAATATGTCAAAAGACAATGTAAAACAGTAATGAAAAAAGCAAATGCAAATACTTTCTTAGAATGTATATTGGATTCTTTTCCTGAAATATCTTTTTCATTTTGGAGAAATCTTGTTGTGTGGGCTGTATTTGTTCTGCAAATCCACTAAAAAGTGTTTTTTTTCTGAACAAGTATTTTCAATCATAATCTGTTTTGATTAATATTTTGCAGCAATATTTTTCAAAAAATATAGTGATATAATGTTAAAGTTACAAAGTCAAGTACAGAAGGTTTAGAGAAATCCAATTGCCACAGTCTGTAAGTGTATCATAATTCAATAAAGTACCCACAAATTATTTTCTGTATAGTTCTGTCCCTATTCACTTGATGCAATGGCCTTTCCCTTCATTGCCTCCAAATGCCACAGATCAACCAGGCAATTTTCCAGTGTGGCATCTGGTGCCCTGATTTTGGCAGAGCCTGCTTTTCAGAATCTCTCTTCTACATCCAAATAGGAGTTTATGGAGGTGAAGTGTAAAAACATGGCTTACTACGTGGGGTTTTTTGCCACTTTGTTCCAGTCCATATGAGGCCACGCTCTGGGGAGTAAGTCAGTCTTATCTCTTCATATTACTCTGAAGTCAACTGGTTAGACTTAAATAGGAGCATGTAGGCATTGGAAAGGTCCCATGACCCCTCCTAAACTGTGGACAGTATGGTAATTTAAGAGTTTTCTAAGAAATAATATATTTCTTTTTAAAATAGATATATATCGGTATATTTGATGAAAAACATTGCTGCAAAACATTAGTTTTATAACAGAAAATACTAGCTCAGCAAAATGCTTCATTTTACATTGCCTTTGGCATGGGCAGAAAAAAAAATCTTTATGTGTCACAGACATTGTCAAGATCCATGGAAGAGTAGTTTTTACATTAAACTTACATACATTTTCTGTTAACTCTTAACATCTCTCAAACATAACTTCTCTTTCCTGTTGTGATTCCCAGAAGTGCATTGACTCTACATACACTTAGTATGAATCTAGGTGAACAGAGCAGGATTCAGGTATCTGAAAAAAGGCTCTGTAGGTATTGGGAGGAGTCCCACTGAGGACTGGACATAAATGTGTGTCTCAAAGCCCTCACAAACTGCCAAATGACACCAGTTGTTTTCCTATTCATAGCTGAATGGTCTCTTCGCAGAACAATTCAAGTGCTTACAATTAGGTGTCTAACAGCATTTTAGATGTCCTACGGTATCCTGCCATCCCAAGATGGCCCTTTGCAGATCTCTCACAGATCTGCTGTCACATATGGCAGCTCTAAGCAGGTGTTCCAGGTATTCTGTGGTCTAGAACAGCTCTACACAGATGTGTTTATGCATTTGAATTGTTCTGCTACATTTAGACATCTAAATTTAGTTGCCTGCGGTGTGGTACTGAAAGACATCCTGGGGTATTCAATTCTGTGCTGGAGCAGTTTCAGCTCATCTGGGCTATTTAAGAACTGCCTGTCAGGATAAGTTATAATTGAACAAATAAAAGCTGAATTGCTTGTTACAGTATGCTTACCACAGACGTGTATACATATGTACAGTTACAACTTATTGCATTCTCTGCAGTCTCTTATTGCTAAAACTGATTTCAGTCTGAAACTCAATCTCATAGCAACCAGTACCCAGATGTGGGCAAGTCTACCAAGCAATCAGGCATGAAAATGCCCTTATCTGGGCAGTCTGTTCAGGGATGCTACAATACCATGGAGGATGAGGTGCCATCAGCTTTCAAGCCCCTCCCAACACTTCTTGGGTTCTGCTTAGGAATGTGCTTGGCTGATGTGGCTCACTGGAATCAGTCAGGGAATGACAGTGGTTAATCTCTTTATCTTGTCCCACCTCTGTGAGTTACCAGGATTTAATCACTGTCTCTATTTTAGATCTTGTTGTCTTGAGAATTTGCAGGTAGATTTGTGGGTGTCAGTAACACATCACTTTTATTGCCCTTGTCCATTCACATCAATATGGAGATTTTTATTACAATTTTACAAAGTCCTAGAAGATTCCTGGGCTTCTATTTTCTTATATTTTGTAGACAGTTCAGTATGTCCTGGTAAAAACTGACATCTACTATTTTATGATATTCATAAGTTTTCTTCTCAAAAGTCTCCCAAGCTTCTGGTGTATTTCAGCAATATATTGTCATAAACTTTCCACTTTCCTAGTCTGGAATTGCAAATGAAGATTACAGTTCACTTCTTTCTCTGCAATCATTTTTGTCTTTAAGTTCTAACCTAATGCACTCTTCATATGCTCTCTCCCGGTTTTATTGGATTCTGATGAGCTTTATGATGTGCCTTCCCAGATTCTCATTCTCTATTATTCACCTCACATTATCCATTTTTATCCAAGACAGACTGGAAAGGAACTTTGAAAAGAAGCAGAAAAGTCACATGCCATTGCTACGACAGACACAGTCTTGCTGTGCACTGTCATCATACTTTCTCTGACTGTCCTGATGAATATTTATTAAGGGCTTCCTCTCAGGCTAGTCTGAACTTTACTGGTTATAACAGAGATGGTGAATTGTGAAAGAAATAGGCAGAAATTTTGAGTAAGTTCATCTTAGTAAGAGGACACTTATTTTTGGTATGATTCTGTTATGGAGCATGTTTCTGGCGATGCTAAACATTCATATGCAATTAAAAAATCCAGGAAGTTTGTATCATCAATCTCACATTCTGTTATTAACAGCAGGAGGAAAAAAAATAGTAGAAAAACTAATGTGTTGAAACCCTTTATATTCAGAACATTAAGTTTATTTGGAAAGTTTTTTTCAGAACCACTGGAATGATGATGGAAGTCTGTTGGTAAAAATGTGAGAATGGAGACTTGAAAGACAGGTTAAATCACTGGAATCCAGCCTCTTCAGGGCTCTGTATTGGCTCAGGCTGTTGCCTTCTGTAGCCACCCTGACAAGACATCCAGTTCCAGATACTGTGGTTCACACAAAAGTAAAGTTCAGTTGAAATGTGCTCCTAATGACTCTGTGTGACCCTTGGGCATCTCTTGTGGCCCTGCAGCTGAGAAGAACACCAGCAAGGAGGGGGCCAAAAGGAGGTGGAGAGGGACTGTGAGGTGATGGCAGCCTCGGGTGAGAGTTTACCCCTGCAGGTGCTGATGTCTCCTCATGAGCCTGGGATGTGGAGTGTGTCCATCCCCAAGCATAAGAGGAAGCATCAAGAGCTACAGCCTCTTCCCTGGGGAGCCACAGGTCAGGACTTAGTCTCGGAGGCAGCACAGGGCACATAGTGGACTTCTCCCTCCTCAGTCAGTTGCTGAAGACTTTCAAAACTTTCTATGGAGCAAGACGGATCCAAGGAAAAGGAGAGCTGCACAGCGCACACCTACTGTCTGCCATGTCCTCAGAGGTAGCTGTGCAATACACATTCCCCCTTTCCATGTGATGCTTTCCTCAAAACTGTTTCTGATTCATGGGCTCATCAGACAGGTGTTCTGTTTTTGCCTGGTCAATCCCTTTGAGGATTTCCTTGTTGTCCTCAGGTACCTGTCCTGCTGGACTTGCGTTTTGTCCTGGTTTCTCACGCACGCATGAGGCTGTCTCAGAAGTGTTCTATGGATGTCCTACTGGGGCAGATGTGATCTCTTTGTTTCCGCTTTGCAGCAGGCAGCTAATCTGGGGCTGCTCAGAGATAACATGGGTATGACAGGTTCAAAAGGGCCACTCACTAGGGGCAGCCCCATGTGTGCCATGGGCAGCACCAAAAGAGTGTCTTGCAGTGGTTTCCCCGGAATGAGGGAACAGCCCTCACTGAGTGCCCAGTGGACACGATAACCAGGACAGGACAGTGCATGTGTGGGCTGCATGCCCTGCCTATGATTTGTGGCTTCCAAGAAAGCTCATCAGGCAGGAGAGGGAAGGGGCAGTGAGTTGTGATATGAAAAGAGCAGGGCTGTGACAAGCAAGCCACACCAGCCTTTGGGGTCTGACAGCCAGAAAATTCACTGGAGAGTTTCTTAATACCTGTGGATGCTCACACTGTGCTGGGTGCAGGAGGTATTTCTGGGATAGTATAGCATGGTAGGAATTTTGACTCCATGGCATTGCAGGAGGTGCAATGACAGTCTGTGTATGCAGCCACAATTAGTAACATTCACACGGTTATTTGTGAAACATATTTTGAAATAATTTATGAAGCACAGGGACTTCCTCTTGGCCGCTACCTGCTGGTCAAGGTGCTGATAAACTATTCTTTGTCTGATGTAAGCATCTGCAATATATGAGTACTGTTACATTTTATTATTTTAAGTGGCAAAACCTGC